TTCAGCAAAACATATTTATATTAATTATGCTGCTAGCTCTGTAGTCTTCAACCTTAAGTTATTTGATTCACATATCTAATTTATAAATATCTTTAATACTCTATAAATCCATTAAGTTAAAGATTCTACTATCTTAAATAGTTTTTCTGGTTTAGGGATTTACTCCAGTATAAAATTTCTGTTCATTTAGAAATTCTATAGTGTTATTAAAATTAAAAAAGTTGAGATTAATTTTATATCATATTTTCTGATTAAAGAAAAGTTTTTATATATGTGAAAAATATCTTTTTAATTAATAAATCGATTATAAAATTACCATCATAATAATATATTTAATATTAATAATAACTTTTGAATATAATCATGCATTCTCTAATATTAATAGAAATCAAATAAATATAAATTAGTTGAAAAAATCTAATAAAATGATAATTAATAAGTACATGTTATAAATTTCTTTTAAAACAAATAAAATTAAGACTTTAAAATTTAAGTTAGATATAATAATAATTGCACTTAGAAAATTCAAAGATTATTTAATATATCATGAGATTTGTACTTGATTAAATAATTAACTTTTCTTTAAAATGGAAAAAAAATTTTGTGTGATCGGTTTCATTTTTGATCAGAATTAACTTTGTGCATCAATAAGCTATATATTGGTCAAATTATCTAAGTTACTATATTTTAATAGCTGAATTTTCCCTATAATTTTATTAAAATTATTTGCTATTTATGCTATGCAACAATTGCTATAACAATCTTTTTGTGTAATCAATTGTAATCATGTGAGAAAGTGTAAAAAGTAAATCGTAACTAATATCATTGCTTAGCCATTTATTTCAAATTTAGGGGGAAAATCAAATTTAAATTCAAAGGATAAATAAAAAAATTTCAAGTTGAATTGAATTATACAAATATTTACATTAAAATTTATAATAGTTCAAAAATAATTGCTAGTATTTTTATGGAATAAATTAAAGCTAAATATTAAATTTGTAAATTGATAACAATTTACATAAAAATTTTAATTGATAT